GCCATTACCAATGTATGTACATTGACGACAAAATTCCCCATCGCCAATGTTCATTAGCGATGGACCTTTCCGTTGCTAATGAATGTAATTCGAAAAAAAAGTTTGATGCTTTTTTAGCCCCCCAAATGGGAATATATACCTGTTGCTACCAATATTCATAAAATATTCAACAATATTCACATTCATCGATTCACATCCAACAATATTCACATTCATCGATTCACATCCAACAATATTCACACATTCATTAATTCATATTCATCGATTCACATCCAACAATAATCACATTCATCATTCATCGATTCACATATATATAATCTGGAGGTCATAATATGTTCAACACAATCCAAAAGTCCACATAAGTAACAAAAAAGTCTAACTCACTACTCATTCATCGTAGTCATATTGGTCTCTATCGTCGTGATCCCTATTGTTAGCGACGGCTGTATCAAAATACCATACCGTACTGCTACTTCCTACGGTACCTACTCTAGCCTGAAAAGAATGTAAATCAATATGAGAATATATTCCAAAATATTCATAATAAATACATATATAATATCACATATATACCTCTCCACCACTTGCAGCTACATGCTCATCAAATGCCATCCCCATGATATCCATGTATATAGGCTGCGGAAGCAAATCATCTCTAAAAGCTAATAAGGAATTCAAGAAAACATTGGTATAAACCTAAAAAAATTGTTCATTATGTCGTGCACCTCAATAATGTTTCCAGATTTTGTTTTTCACATGATGACACAAATTGTTTATTTGCCCTTTAGCTGTACACATTTCTTAATTTAAGAATATTCATTTGAGGAACAAAACTATTAGTAATAGTAGCTAAATAGGAATGTTACGTTAAAGTTTGAATATCTTTGATACATAATATATGCTTTAAGTAGGAATAGATAAGTTACCCGAAGAGGCTCAACCAAGAGGATTAGAGACGTTATAAACGACACTAAACTCGAAGTGCCTGAGGAATTTCTTGAGACAATCAATGAACCAGCACAAAGGAGTATCAATCCACCTATACATATGACCTGGACAATCAGATGTATGAGTGCCTTCATTTTTCGCTTCTTCGACCTTTGTACCAAATCATCAAGAGCATGCCTCTGGAATCGTGAGCACTCACTAAACTCTCCATTGTTAGCCTTTACAACAACCATTGATGAAAGTACTTAAAACATGAAACTACAGACCAGCTCATTAGTGTTCCTTATGTTAGACTTGATATGTGAATAACTCTAAGGAAGAAACATAACATTAAAATATAATTTTATAGTACATGCAATAATCTGGGTTCACCTTATTTAGGGAGGCGGATAGTCTAGCAGCACTTGACTACGCATTCTTGGGTTTTTTGCAGAGCCTTTCACCAAGATATGCAATGCCAAACGACACATAAGGAAGAACCTATAATCACAATATCAAGACATCATTGGACTCATAAAACTATATAAATTCAAATGTGAAAGACTCAAATTCTATATAAATTCAAAAGTGAAAGACTCAAATTCTCTCAACTCACTAATGCTGACATTAAGGAAAGTGCGAGGCTAAGCGCTACCATTTGAGAAGCCATAGCCAAAAGATGTAGGGTATTGTGTACCACAGTCTATAATTATTTTTACATGGGAATAAAGTGGGGAGAAAAGATCAAGTAACTCCCTAGTGTAATTCACATAAAAAATTACCATTTGTAAATGACTTCTCTACAACTCTACTGAAAGTTCAAAAGAAATTAAAAGGAAAATCAGGCATGAATCTATCTAATGGATATTCTAGAGCGCACACAATCAACCATGGAAAACAAGGATAATAGCAAAGCATGACATCATCAGTAATGAGCAGCACCAGTGACCAATTGTAGATAATTCTCATAGTACTTAATGAGCGAATGGATCAAAACTAAACATTGTCTTTTTAAGAAAATTTGTTGAAGAGTCGATTACTCGTCAACTCCTGATAATTTAAACTATGAACATTCCACATTAGCCAATGCAAACAACAAAGTAGACTATAAATGCAATAAAAATAAAGATAAACTATGAACATTCCACATTAGCCAATGCAAACAACAAAGTAGACTATAAATGCAATAAAAATAAAGATTTGAGCTTTGAAACCCACATTAGCCAATGCAAACAACAAAGTAGACTATAAATGCAATAAAAATAAAGATTTGAGCTTTGAAACGTTAGCAAATTTCTTAAAGCCAGACCGTATGGCTATCAAATTCAGGGTTCTAATTAAAATAACATCTTTATATATGCCAACAAGTATGATGATTGATTGGTTACATTTAAAAGAGCATACGTCGTATCGGCAACATCTGCCACCTCCGTCGTGATCCGATGCGCAACATGCCCAGCGAAAACATCATCATTCCCTTCAAAGAACCCTAAATCCCTCTCGATCACTCTAACTAAAAAAATAAACCCTAACCTCGTATGCCGCCCTAACGCTGCCTCCCAAAGAAACGCCTGTTGAAGATAACTCGTTAAAGACCTGGTGTAAGCTAGGGCTGCAAGGGTCAAACCCTCGGTGATTAGCTTATCGGGTTCGGGTTGGGCGAGGAGGCGGCCGAACCGAGGGACGGAGGGAGAGAGAGAGAGAGAGAGACGGAGGTGGCGCTGAGCATTTGAGGATGAGTTTCCATAGGGACTGGATGAAGGGGCTAAGTGAATGGAGAGGGAATATTTGTTAATTTGTTTTGGGTGAAAAAAATAGGGGGGAATTTGTTGACCCTATAGTTTTGATGATGATTTGACAAACAATTTATTACTAATAAGTTTTCTAGTGTTTTGTGTTTATGTTCTTTTTTCAGGTATTTCAACACGCGTTAATCAAGCGTTAAAGATTCAAGTTCATTTGTGTGGATTTACCTAGGTATATGTTTAGTTTACTTACATATATAGTATGATTATATCTAAGCTCAATATATATACACTTAACACGATTTTTGACGTTTTCTATCATATAGATGATTTTTCATTAAACGTTGTTAAAATACTTTATCTCATGTTTACAGCTCCTTCATACTTCACTATATACATATATTATATGCACAATATATATATGAATATTTACAAGTCCTATATCAAAGTTTACTTTCATAAAATTACAGGTTTTCTAAGCATTCTTTAAAAACATGTAGTTTTCACAAACGAAAATTAATTTTCCAGAAATTCTTTTTCAAACATGTTTATTTCATCATTTAGAAACTTTCCCCAAAGTTTCACTATTTTTGGATGTGATTTGATATTTTTAACGAATTTTCAAAACTGCCCAAAACCTGTCAATTTTGCATATATCAGATTTCGGTCGACACAGTTGTTTTCTGAGCTCATACTTGCGGTCGACCGCACCGGTCGACCGAGAGAACTTCCGGTCGACCGAAAATTCCGTCGGTCGACCGCCAGCTCTAAACCCTGTTTCTTTGAGTTGCTTGTGCTTTCCGGTCGACCGGACCGGTCGACCGACGAATTGTCAGAATGAGCCTAACGGCTAGTTTTTCAAATGGACTTTTTGGCCTTTTACTTATTTCTAGCTGTTGTATTAGGGTGCTATATATACTCCATTGCTGCTCTTCTTCACTAATATCCAAGAAATCCAAGTTTGTTGTTTAACAAGTTATTAATCGCGTTTAAGAGTTGTTTAAGAGTTGTTTCATCAATCTATTTTCAAGAGAAGTTTTTCTATAACAAGAAGTGGCCTTCAAACCCTATTGGAACCATCATTTCTTCAGCTCTTCTTGTTCATTGAGAAGTTTTCTAAACTCTTTCCTATATAGCTTACTTTTTGAGCTTGATATTCTCATATTATATACTGTGGGTTGTAGTGTGAGATTTAGTGAGTGTGAGCTTTATTGTGTTCTCACTTGTTAATTGAGAACAAATCATTGTATTGAACCTTTATTTGTGAGATTCACTTGTAACACACTTGTACACCGAGAGAAGTGTGAGGAGAGAGAGACGGGGTCAAATCCAATAGGAGTGGCGTCGATTGACGAACCTAGGGAGAGGTTGTAATCGAGCACTTGAGGAGGAGGACACGGGCTAGGTTCCTACACTTAGTGTGTAAAGTGTGTTTGTTGAGGGATTGTGTAGTGTGAGAGTTTTCGGTGAACTTGTAAACCGAGTGTGTAGAAGTTCTGGCTTCCAAACCGGATTGTGATAGTGGATATCTCCTCGAGGTGAGGAGCGGGGACGTAGGTCGTGGGGACTGAACCTCGTGAACATATCGTGTGTTTGTGTTTTGGTTGGCGTACATATTATTCATCTTTATTGCTCAATTTCATATCATATTAATTCTTGCAAGAACAAATTGATCAACATAATTTTAATTAGCTTTTAATTGGGATTAGATTAGCATAAGACCCTAACCCCCCCCCCCCCCCTCTAGGGTCTAACACCTCTGTGACATGAAGTATATATCATATTGGGACAACAAAAGTACCCATCTTTCCAGGCACCAATTTAACGACTCGGGCTGTATCATGAAGACTCGAATGGGATTGACTCCGCAGATGACATGTATGGTTTGGCTGACTAAGTAATGTTGCATTTTCTGAATCGCGAACACTAGGGCCAAACATTCTTTTTGGACCATAGGATATTGATGTTCAGCTCTAGTTAGGGTTCTACTCAAGTAGTAGATTGCTTGCTCATGGTCATCATCATCAACTTGTGCTAACAAAGAATCTAAAGAGTGTTACATTGCCTTCACATAGATTAGGAAGGATTTCCCTTAGACTGGAGCTGCCAAAACTGGTGGGTTTGAGAGATAGGTTTTTATCTCATCGAATGCTTTCTGGAAAGCTTCGTCACAGACAAAAGACACACCCTTCCTCATCAAATTTGTGAAGGGTTTGCATTTACCCAAAAGATTTGCAATGAATCTACAAATGTAGGCCAGACGTCCTTACAGCCCTCTCAATTCTTTGAGATTCCTAGGTGCCTGCAACTCATGGATAGCTCACACTTTGTCAGGATCTATATGAATCCCCTTCGTTGTGACAATAAATCCAAGGAACTTGCCACTCGACATCCCCAAAAATGATTTTGTAGGATTTATTTTCAATTGATGAGCTCGTGTTATTTTGAACACCATTTTTAGATCTTGAAGATGATCATCTTTGTTGCGACTGTTCTTGACTAATTCATCTACATAACATACCATTGTCTTTCATATATGATCTTGGAAGATTGTGCTCATGGCACATTGGTTGTGCGAGTCAGCATTTGGTGACTCGGAACTGTGCGAGTCAGCTTCTGGTGACTCGGAACTGTGCGAGTCAGCTTCTGGTGACTCGGAACTGTGCGAGTCAGCTTCTGGTGACTCGGAACTGTGCGAGTCAGCTTCTGGTGACTCGGAACTGTGCGAGTCAGCTTCTGGTGACTCGGAACTGTGCGAGTCAGCTTCTGGTGACTCGGAACTGTGCGAGTCAGCTTCTGGTGACTCGGAACTGTGCGAGTCAGCTTCTGGTGACTCGGAACTGTGCGAGTCAGCTTCTGGTGACTCGGAACTGTGCGAGTCAGCTTCTGGTGACTCGGAACTGTGCGAGTCAGCTTCTGGTGACTCGGAACTGTGCGAGTCAGCTTCTGGTGACTCGGAACTGTGCGAGTCAGCTTCTGGTGACTCGGAACTGTGCGAGTCAGCATTTGGTGACTCGGAACTGTGCGAGTCAGCATTTGGTGACTCGGCACTGTTCAAGCTTCTAAGCAATGTTTCGTGATTCTTCCAGCTTCTTTGTTTTGCGTACGCTTCGTCGCCTTGCTGATTTTGGATGAATTCCTTTGACTTGGATAATAACGTTTATCGTCTTTTCCTTGTCTTGCACTGTGTTTGAGGACCTATGGGCATTTTTTAACGCCTACAGATACCCCCTCCAAAGTGTTTCAGTCTCGTTTCTTTTATAGAGGAGCCTGAAATACTTTGGATATGATAGGCTATATTTGCAGAAGGACCTGTCATGGGTTTCATTTCTTGACTCCTTCAGCCCTCAATCTATTCAGAGTTCTGTCGAATAGATGAAGTTTTTACGGCTCTGCGTTTATCGTCTGACCGCTGTTGAAATCTTGAAACTAAACGGCGTCGCTGATTTAACGTTGAGTTGACCCTCGTTGTTGGGGAATTCCCATCTGGTGACACCTTGACAGACGTTGATCAAAAGTCATGCATTTGAAGCAGAGAGGACCAGTTTATACTCGTATACTCTTGGGAGTTCTGAAAGTTAGTTCAGCCTCATATACTTATCGGAGGTCGCGAATATTGTATACGATATTCTCCAGGGACTTCCCGTCGAGGGTGGGAAACAGTTTAAACTCGTATACCCATTGGAGTTTTAAGAAGCAGTTTATACTCGTATACTTTTCGGAGTATTGATTCTTTCATTGCAACGCATTGATCGGCTTTGACCTAGGGTTACGCGTTGACCGGCGTTAACCTTAGGGTTTCGAATGTCGTTCGATGCTCAAGTCACGAGACCAACTAATGAAGCTGATGCGTCAGTGACTATCATATTTATAGGATTTTGGGCAAACCCTCAGCCATCAACGGGTTTGATGAGCCTTTACCGACCACCGTTTGAGTCGGGCTAGCATGCGGATTGTCTAAATCCGTTCCGCATGTGACGTTGTGCTAAAGGAATGAACTCCCTTAGACTTGATGCTACAACTTCGAATATGTAGACTTCGTCTTTCTCCTGTGAAAAGACTAAACAGCAACGTGTATGAGACGTTGACTTAGGATTTTTGGCAAATCCTCAGCCTTCAACGGATTTGACGTGCTCTTACCGACTACCGTTTGAATCGGGCTTACATGCGGATTGTCTAAATCCGTTCCGCATGTGACGTTGTGCTAAGAGAGTTAACGCTCTTGATGCTACAACTTCGAATATGTAGACTTCGTCTTTCTCCTGTGAAAAGACTAAACAACAACGTGTATGAGACGTTGACTTAGGATTTTTGGCAAATCCTCAGCCTTCAACGGATTTGACGTGCTCTTACCGACTACCGTTTGAATCAGGCTTACATGTGGATTGTCTAAATCCGTTCCGCATGTGACGTTGTGCTAAAGGAATGAACTCCCTTCCTGTGGTATGCACAGTACTTTGGGTCCGTAGTGTTGTCAGCTTCCTCCTGATTTGTGATAGGTGGTGGCTTGATCTTGTTGCTTCCAAGGAGGGATTCGAAGATGGCTGGAACATCTTCGTCCTTGAAAGAGTACTCTTTTTGGAGTCTCGTACCCGAAGTCTGGAGCCTGAAATACTTTGGATATGATAGGCTATATTTGCAGAAGGACCTGTCATGGGTTTCATTTCTTGACTCCTTCAGCCCTCAATCTATTCAGAGTTCTGTCGAATAGATGAAGTTTTTACGGCTCTGCGTTTATCGTCTGACCGCTGTTGAAATCTTGAAACTAAACGGCGTCGCTGATTTAACGTTGAGTTGACCCTCGTTGTTGGGGAATTCCCATCTGGTGACACCTTGACAGACGTTGATCAAAAGTCATGCATTTGAAGCAGAGAGGACCAGTTTATACTCGTATACTCTTGGGAGTTCTGAAAGTTAGTTCAGCCTCATATACTTATCGGAGGTCGCCGGGTTATCCTTAAGAATATTGTATACGATATTCTCCAGAAACTTCCCGTCGAGGGTGGGGAACAGTTTAAACTCGTATACTCA